CCATCCAGCATACAGATGGCCAGTTCAATAATGGATTATTCAACAGGAGTGGCTAAAGAAGTTGGAATCCAAGCTGACAGCAGTTGTTATCCTCTGCAATCCCAAAGTGAACAAATGTACCAAAATGAGTCATTCGACTGAAGTGTTTGACTAGCAGGGAGCCTAAATTTACCCCGCAGACTAAAAGCACCGATGTGGACGTACCCACGATTTAGAAGGGAAGGGTTAATAAAGGGATCATTACAATACAGGACATCAGTATAGACTGATGGGTGTAAAATCACTACACCTGCTGTAGTCCACTGCTCACAAGCATCTTATGTGAAACTTGATGACCTGATGATACTCGCAGACATATGTACAAAATTGCATGTTGCATTTTGAAATTTAGGGACATCAGAAGACTATCCCAGACAATCTAAAAAGGAAAATGTCTTCCCAACACAAAGTGTTTAGAATGATTTTTGTGAAATATTCCATTAATGCAATGCAATGTGTAAGATCTGGCCAGAATTTTAGTTTGAAACACTCAAAAAATTAACTAACACTACTAACCTGAAGAGGTTCCAGTGATGAAGTTGTCGTTATGTCGATGTATTGTGTTGTGGAGATGTCTACTGAAATGAGCACGCCAACCAGCTACCCCCGGCCCGTCCTGTCTTGTAAGTGGAGAGGCGATAGTGAGTCATCGTTACATTCAGTCTGCCCTCGGCCCAACATGAGAGGACAAAGAGTAGCGCTGCCCTGGGGGCTTGTCAATCACAGTTGAAGGTACAGGGTACGTGGATGTTTGTGTTTTATTGGATTAAATCCAAAGCGGCAGAAACGAGAAAACGACTCATTTTTTAATTTCGTCCTGCTCGCCACCAGGAGATTACCTCACCGGGATGAGGGGGCGAGGAGGCTCCAGGAGATGGACTATAAAGGCCCCCCAATTAGTGGCACAGCAAACACAAAGGGGGCTTATGCCACATGTGAAGATTATAAGATAGCAGTGTTATTTTCAAATTGTGTCTTTTCTTGCCCTGCTGGTAAATTCAGATTGTATTGATACAGAGGTGAAATGCTGCCCCCTATGTCTTTGCAGGATGTCGCCAGACATTACATGGCACCTTTTAAGGCATCGTTAATATCAGGGCCAGAAGCAGGTGCCGCTGCGCTGATTTAAAATGGGAGAATATTGGCAGAGAAAGCACTGCTTCAGCTTCTAAAATATCACAGAAATGTGAAAAGATGGGTGGGCAATATTGCAAAGACTTTTGCAAGGTTGTCTTATTCCATGCTGATACCATGATAACGTGATGGTCCATTCATAAATCGATGTAATAATTGTTTGTGTGCACACGCTCATATTTATTCATTTACTACGTTTAAAAATGTCATGCATCTGCCCGGGTGAGATTTGCTTTTCCCCATCAAAAAGAAGCAGCGCAGCAGGAAAATCTATGAACAGGAGACCCACTGGTCGAAGCTTCTTTGTCTGCATTACACAGAAGTTGTCTCAGGTGTGTCTTTTGTAGCTTATACTGTGCTTCGTTTGTCATGTGTCACACACACAAACTGTGTGATTATTGATATAAGCATTTCTGTGGTGTGCCGTTATGTCTTCTCAGCTCCACTTAATTTTGACCTTTCAAGCATTTCTGTCTGTTTCATTTGATTCTTTTCCTTTTTTTCCTCTCCTCTCCCCTTTTTGTTCTCTGGCTGGTGGCAGCAGGGAACTTGCCATGCATTTCACGTTGGACTCAGAGTATGTTGCTATGGTGGTTGCTAGGGATTTAGCCTAGAGTGACGTGGAAAGTCCAAATATTAAAGGTGTCCTTTTGATGCAGAGGCAATGGAAGGTGTGAGGAATGAGCAATCGCCTCAGAGAGCGTTTTTTTTTTTTTTTTTATGTGCCCTTTCATTATCATGCCTTCTGTGAAATATCAGAATTGATTTTCAAAACACAAGAAAGGACTGCGTATAAAGGCACAAGCCAGAGCAAAAGGGGAGAACACTGCCTTTGCATATAATGCTTGTTCATTCATTTTCTCATTTGGGCATGTATGTAGAGAAGATTCTCTGCAGCCTCCTCATCAAATAAGCACTTTAATTGTATCTGCTGAATGACAGTGGACAGCAGTAAGTAAGGTTCAATGTTAGTGTTTGATGATTTGGAAATTAAAATGATGTCCTTGGCATGTACAGAAGCTAGACCAAATAATGGGAACATCTAACAAAATGTGAATGTCAAATACCTTAAAGAAAAGACCAACCTCTGTCAGACCAACCTGTTATATTAATCCTTTATATAGCAAAAAATAATTATAAAATCTATTTTTCACTTCACATTGTCTAAGTGCCTTTAAGTACCCTTAAAGGGTAAATGATGATGAGTTCTTTTCATTAGGTGGATCAGTGCTGTGAAAGAACAGACGCTACAGTACACTGTTGTGTATGCAAGTCAAACGTGACTGAGCTCCGTTTTTTGGCAAGCTTTTTTTCTATACGTGCTACTGTGTGCAACTCTGGAAGGTGTTTAAAAATAAAGAATTTCTGTTTGATGAAGTAGTCGAGGAAAAACAGAGCGATATCAAAAACAGGAACATGAAGACGAGGAAATTGCTGGTCTCGCGGCACAGAGGGCAAAGTTGAACTGGCACAGAAACGGGGCATACACTAGGGAGGTGTAGGTGATTAGACACAGGTGGGATCAATCAGGGGCGGGGCAGACAATCACAGTGGCGGGAAAACACACAAAGACAAGAAGTGAAGTGACCTGAGAGGAGATGTAAGTAGCACAAAATAAAACAGGAAACACAGACAAGTGATGAAATAAGAAAGCACTACTTAAGAGACAGTAGGAGACATGGCCTTTGGAGCCTAGCCGTGTGTCCTTTGTGCACCATATCGAGTGTATTCTCACAATACTGTATAGGCCTATATCGTTTCTCAGAGTTCTTTTCAAAACGAAACATGATGTTGGCCGTTTGCTACTGCAGTATACTGTTTCCAGAAAACCCCAAATCAGCATGGTTATGGTTGACTTGCATGTAGTGCATCAAGGGCTTCAGGAGGGTAATACAGTCATAGAGGTAAAAACTGTATATCTTTTTCAAAAGCTGTGTGTTGGTTTTAGCTATTAGCTAGCTAACCTAGCCATTGAAAACAAAGCTCAGCTTGGCTCACATTGTCTAACCAGCCAGACCTTCAGTACCAGAGGAAGCCAAACCAGCAGGGTGCATTGTTCCACTAAGCTACAATGTGTGTTTCTATCCTATCTTGTGATATTGGAGCTGTAGGATGTCTGCGGCTGAGTCAAATACAAAGATAGATGAAAGAAAGATAATAACTGTACATAATGATGTCTTTTGTATTCTTTTCATTTTCTGCATTGAGTATGTTAAGCTTAGCTTAGCTTAAATCTTGGCAACAAGGGGAAAGGGTTTGCATTGATAAAAACTGAAAGAACTGGCCATCTAGCGAGTCGCAGGATTGCTGCATTATAATGTCTATTTACAATTTGAAGCTATTAAATACAGGATCAAACAACTATTTGCTATGTAAAGATATAGTGGACTAGCGTTTACCTGAGCAGAGATGAAGTCTCTCTCCTTCTGTGCTTGCTATCCCCCACTGGCTAGCTGGTCGTTGCTCTGCACTGCTGTAATACTGTGGTTACAGCTGATAATGCCGTCACAACTGACGGCGTTGTGGCGGAGGTGTAGCGCCCACCCTTCGGTTCCCCCTCAGATAAACACTGCCAGCTCTGTCAGCACTTTGGCTTTAGTTTGTTCTGTTAGCGCTGTTAGCACCGTTGGCTATAATCCGCCGGCATGTTGAGAGCTGCTGAGAAGCAATCAAAATGTTCCCAATCTTTAAATTGTAAACTTAATTTGAAATTCTTGTCACATAACTTATTTTTTTCAATTTGAAAACTTATATTCTGTCAGTGATGCTTTTCCAAGATTTTGTATATATTTGATTGGATGTATGCATTCTACTTGTGCTTTTCTTTTTGTGAGTGACTGCTTGATATGAAGGTTTATTTAGCATGTGGCAATCAGTAGCAGCCTAAATGATAATGTCCAGTGCCCAACACAAGAGCTCAAGGCCTGAGGAGAGAAAGACCTGCCCTGCCCTTCCTCCCTCTTCCTGTTGTACTGCCTTTCCTTGACTTGCAGTCCACAGCTGTAGCAGCCATCACACAACCTCAGGCAGGCTAGTTAGCCCTGAGAAAAGAGCCTGAACCCCCGATCAATAACTTAAGTCTTGTCTGCCTAATTGCTCATTGGTTGACATTGGCGCAAGGCTAAATGTAAGTGCATGTTCCCCCGAGTGATCGTCTTCGGCTCTATTTCCACCACTTGCCGCCTAGTGTTGGGCTCACGGTCTGCCCCTCTCTCTTTTCTCCTGTCCTCGCCTCTGTTCACCCATGTTCGGAATGGAGAAAACCTGACCTGATCGGCTTCTTCTCAGCTATCTCAGCGGGATGAGACTATCCAGATATTCCAAAGAGATGTGTTGCTCCCTCACCAGGCCCGTGACTCTCAGGCTTCTCAGGTAAATATCCGGGTTTAATGACGGAACAGGAAGATTAGCCAGTTACTCTCGCTCTCAATTTCAATGAGCGCCAGGAAATTAGCTGGTGTGGTTTGGGGATTTCTGAACGGCTTATTCTATGCAGACGCACTTTATGAGTATGGAGAGGCCAGTATTGATTGTGCTCATTGTGAATTATGTGAATAGATAAAAGTGTGAGTGTGCATATATATTAGGCTATTATGCGCTCAGGTGCTAAAGTAAAAATTCTGCTGAATAAATATGAAATATGCCTCCATCAGCATCCAACTGTTGTTCCCTCGGCACTAGTAATTTGAGAAGATAATTGGGAAAGCATGTTTGCCTTTTTCTGATGAGATGAGATATTATGATAGCTCTCTGCAGCCTGGGTTTAAATCTGTATTGATCAGTGTGAGGCTCAGGAGCTCAAATCAAAACAGCAGTACAGCCCCTGCACAGTTCCATATATATTTCTGTCTTTGTCTTTATTTAGTTTGAAGAAATCTTACAATCCTCGGACATTAAACATCAGATATTGTGTAGCATAAGAAGCTCATTTGTATTTGTTCTCGCCCTCTTTTCCAGTAGTAGTGTGCTAATGTCATGATTTAAATGAAGTATTGATCAGTTTAGGAGGGGAGAATAGAGAGAGAGGGAGCAATTGTGAGGGAAAGAAAGCAAGACCAGGGTTATCGGTGTGGATCGCATACAGAAAGAGTGCGCTAACGGATGAGACACGTTTTAAGCGATTCCGTGAAATGGATTTCTGCATAATCTGTATTTTTAATTCAGGAATAACCGCCAGCCTCTTTTGTTTGACTTATTCCGAGAATCAAAAACGGACACGGAGATGACGCAGCGCCTTGAGCAGAGCAAGAACGGAAATAACTGTCTTTTTTACTCTTGTTTTTTGTTGATTTCATGGAGTATTTGCCAGCCTGTATACCGACGGTTAAATAATGCTTTGTTCTGGTTCCTGTCTGGGTTTCCATCTTGTCTGGTTATAATTCCTTCTGTAATGACGACATTGCATCAGGCACACTGGATTAAAGCCTCCGTCCAAGTGAACCAGGAGCTAGGTTTGTTTGTCTTCCTATTACTGTCCTCCTCTCCTTTCTCCAAAGCTCCCTCCTCTTCCTCTCTCTCTCACCGGCTTTGGCTCCCTCTCTCCCTCTCTCTCTCTCTCCCCCTCCATCCCTTCCCCTTATTGTGATTTAGCCCAGCGAGGTAGTATTAATTAGTGGCCTGTTTATTATTGTTGGCTCTCGTACTGGGCTGGCAACTGTTTGTTTTCAGTTTTGCAAGAACGGTTTATCTCGATATAGTCACGTCGCTGTGTATTCCACTGCTGCACTACTTCAGTATTACCTGTATTTTTCTATAAAACATTAATAGTTAATACTTTGGTAGTATAGCACGTGTTCTGTTGTAGTTCAATAGCAGATTTGTCACTTTAAGTTTTTCGTTTCTGTTCATTGATAACCTGTTCTTACAGTTATAATTTAGATTTTTTTAAAGTGACTTATTTGTAATTATTTATTGACAAGAACTATAAAATTCTACCTGAACCTGACAGTCTTTAGATTTAGAAAACAATGTTTATAGATATGCATTTTAATTAGTTCCTTGTTGAATGTTATAATCTACATAGAGTTACCGATCAACAGTTTTTTTCTTTTAATAAAGACTGCATTCTAGCCATCACAATAAGTGTATTGTTTGTGATTTCATTGTGCAAACATTTAATATTTCAAATAAGTTATGACTTTAGTTTCAAGAAAATTCAGCTTTAACTTCAGCAGTCCTCCTGACATAGAATTAGCAGATGAAGGTAGATATGAGGCCTGCCATTGACGGGACAGGATTTTGGCCGGCTTTATTTCTGAGTATCTGCTCTTGAGGATGGGGAACCATGGTGCATCTAAGTCTCAGCTACAGACTGAGCAGGTTGGCTGCGCAGAGAGGATAGGCTCTGTGTACTGGATTGATTTTTCTCCTCCTCTCGCTGCCCTGCCTCCTTTTGTGGTTCAATAGCTGGACAACCAGGAGCAAGGATCTCTCAGTCGCTGCCTGAACTGCAGGAGAGCCGTCTGGATCTCCGGAGGAACAGAGTCACTTGCAGCAACACCAAAAGCAGCTTCAGAGCCAGACTCGGCAGGCCCAGGAGCTCCACAGTCAGGTATAGTGCTCCCTGCCAGGCCTGGGGTTTCCCAGCAGGCCCCAGACTCATGCTTCATGTGCCCATCCCTTCCACCCATTTTGAGTAGAATAGCAATTTGAACACCAAATTTGAAACATTTCCATCCATGCGTTTTTTCATATTAATTAAATGTAGACGTGCTGGCGCCATCTGATCTAGGATAATGCAGCATGTAGAGTCACAGTTAAAATGTATGTATATTAAGAACTAATGGTCAGGTGATGAAAAATGCAAACTTTATGGCATTAACTTCCATTTGTGATGCATGTACACAAATGTTGCACAAAAAGGAAAACCTCATAGACAGATGGGCAGGGATGTATGTCCACTGAGTCACCAGATAAACCTGTTCTGTATGACAAACAGGCACTTGGTCACATTGACAGGCAAGACAAACCCAGGATTCTGACGATTGATGACTGTTGTTTCCGACATATATTCAAAGAAAAAATGCTGCTTGCCACCTTCCCTCGAGAAAATAACACTGACCAATCTGAATCACTGACTGTGATGATTGATGGTGTCTGTGTCACCTGTTGCCAAGCCTCTGGGCAGACTCTGTGTTGTTCAGTCAGAGCCCGAGGTGTCTCTCAGTATTGTTGCCTGGAACATTGTCGGTGATGCCTTAGCTACTCTGTGAATCTTTGCTTATTTTCTCTGTCTGCCTACTGTTCCTCCAGATGTCATTGGCTGTGACGATCACCCATCATTTATTTATAATCAGAACTCCACAGGGTTACCTTTAACTCATCATCTCCATCCCCATCCAGCTCATGTGATTTACAATTCACTGTTATGGTATGATCTGTAGCTGCACCAATAGGCTGGAAGGTTTCTTTTTTTTTTTTTCTACAGGAGTAACCTGCAATTATCAAAATTACAATAGCTCATGAAAATTTCGGTTCTGATACTTTCAAAAAATTGTGTTCCAAAAGCCTGTTTTAATTTATATAAAACATGTATCCTTAGCTTCATTAGGCTACAGGGGTCACTAATAGGCGGACCACGGTCCGGGTCCGGACCCTGATAATGTTGTATCTGGATCCTGGGCCTACAACTGATAGATAATTGAGAATTATTTCATTTTGACGGAGTGCCTCTACTCGATCAGCGGTCCAGGAAACACACCAACCAATTACATGCGTTGTACATCATCTCACGTGATGCTACTCAGCCAATCAAATATGTGTATTCTGATTAGCATCGCAACTCCAGTGAGATTTACACACCCAGCAGGAGAAGTACGTGGGTCAGATGAGTTATTTCACAGGACGTTCTCCAAAAAGAGGAATGTGGACAGCTTAACCTGAGCCTTTAACCAATAATGGACAGACTCTCATATCTTCATTCTTCACACGGGCAGTTCGAAACCAGTACGTCTCATATGTTCAGAGACCGTGGCGATTATAAAAAGAGACAATGTGAAGCGCCACTACGAGACAAAGGACAAGTATTTTGAGCAAATGCACCGTCTCACATCCAAGAGCCCAATACGATCAGAATCCGAGCACATTAATTCACTGCCCAACAATGCTGTAAACAGAGAGGAATAGAGCTGAAACAAGTGGTTTCAATAGCCACAGATAAAGGCCCTACAGACAAATCTCTCTTTTTAGAAAATGAGAATAATATAATGGTTTTCTTGGTTGACATCACTTAACCCTGAATGAATTGAATTTAAAGCTGCAGGACAATTCAGTGAAATTCATTTTTCTAAACTAAAGTACTATATTTTAAGATAAACATTTTTCAAAAGCTTTCTGTTATGTATTGTTTTTTATCCAGCCCTTATTTGACTTGAAATGAGAGAAAAACATGTATTTGTTATTACAGTATGTTTTATTCATAATTCATCCAGTTCAATTTGAAAACTGACAATAAATATTGTTTAGATATTATTCAATCAACCTTTCTTTATTTGATTTGATAATAAGTTGCTGACTACATACAGACGTTAATACAACTAATAGGCTACTTCAATGCATATGGGACTAAATCATTGCACAAGTTAGACATTATTGTGATCTTCCGGACCTTTGCATGAGGAAATTCTCTCTAACTGGACCTCGTTGAGTTTTAATTGAATAAACCTGGGCTATCACATGCTATTACAGGCCAAAAACATTTGGTGGACACTAGACGGCAAAAGATACATGACAAGTATATCACGACTGTCTTTTTTCATCATCAACTGTTCAGACTAGAACTACAATTGGCATGTGATCGACTGGAGCATCTCAGCTATCGAATGTTAACTGCCAAGTTGGAATGCAATTTAACGGTTACAGTATTATAGTTTGTAGTATGAATAAGCATTGATTGTACAATTGTTTTCAAATCAGATTGTATTAAATTAAGTACTTGAAAGACTAAATTATTTTAGTAACATACAGAGGACAATTAACATGTCAAAAGACTTGGACGAAAGTTTTGTAAATGTATGATTTGGATTGTAATGTGCCATCCATCAGCTGCAGTTAAAGGAGAAAGGGGACCGTCATCCAACATAATGCATCCGCTCTTTCATGCTAAGGTCCATAAAAGTCAGATTTCTTTCTTTGTTAATCCACAGTTGTCACTGCATACTAATCTGTAATGTATGTTCCTATGAACATCTATATAACAGCTGTAGCTGTTTTATAGTTCTGCTCCCATTTGTTCTTCAGCGTCAAGCGGTCAACAATTGAAGAAGTTAAGATCGGCAACTTCCTTCTGTCGGACCTCCCACATGCAATTGCCGATTGCTGAGAGATGCCTATTTCCACATCCCCAAGCACAACGTTCCCGCATTTCTTCTTCCAAGGAATACAATACCAGCACAACTGGCTGCAGCTATTCCCTGGCTTAGTCTATGGAAACAGTGGTCATTACGCAGGAGTAGGATCAGGGTTTTGTTCCACTTAGATGACCTAACTTGGGAAGGGTAGGTGGGAATAAAAGAATCTCCCATTCCTCCATTTAAACAGTTTGGAGCTGTCCACGGTGCTGAAAGTGCTGGACACTTTGTTCCTCTGTTTAAAAAAAACAAAAAAACATAACAGCTGCAGCATACATCAGCCACCAGGGCGGCGAGCGCTCGGCCTGGCTGCTAAAAAATAGCCAGGGGCCTTTTGCTGTGGTCTCACAAACACCTCCTCTCCATCAGAGCATTGTACACCTGGGGTACAGTACTGCGCTGCAGACTAAATGGCTGGCGGGGGGTCCATGGGTCACAGGGGGGGGGCACCTGAATGAGGAGTGGATGCATTCTCTCACTTGCAGTGGCACAGAGCTCTCCTTTGCGCATTTCACACAGCTTTGCCGATCCCTCGTCTCTCAGTGCGCATTCAGGAAGTTAATCTAACCGTCATTGTGGTGGCACCAGCGGCTAGAGTCTCTTCTACTCCAGCATATTACGCATGTAGATGGTCCACTTTGTAGCGCTGGTGTGTAGAGAGAGGCTCAGATCCCATGTCATGTCCTTTGCCTCGTGTGTTAACCTACCTATAAACGTTGGTAGATAACAATTTGGCCTCATCAGCAGTTAAAATGTATAGCCCAAATATCTCTGAAGATGCTATCCCCCAAGACTCATTCTAGCCCTGACATATCGTTTCAACACAGATCGACAACAGCAGCATGCTCTAAAGCCCAAGTTGTCTCATGGCGCACTCAAAGAGTTTTTTATCCTAAAACATGCAGGGATCTCCTGGGCTTCTCCGTAACTAGGTGCTAGCTGCGTGCGCTGGGAGCTTTTCAGACATGACTGTCACACGTATTTAATTGATAAAAGCACTATTAACGTGTCTGAGGATTTTACAAAGATGGCCATTTAGTTTTTAAATGCTTTAGAAGCAGGAGTTCTTAAAAATCTAAATTTCAATTTTGCCAGCCAAATCAAATTGTTTTCAGGATATTCAACCTTTGTTTCAGTTTCATGAATTTGATACTTGACTTCTGTTTTTACAGGGCTTGTTTAAAGGCAATTAAGTAGATATGAGTTTACAGTTAATTACAATTCCTTGTCGGCATTTTGGAGGTTGTTTTATGGCATCTTGGCGGTAACACTTTTTGTCTTATTGCTATTACATTAGCGAGCCAATGCAGGTTTACTCTGGAGTTTCACAGCACAAAGGTTCAGCACAGAGGTTGCTGGTTGCTGAGTGGCCTTCATCTATGAAGGCCACTCAACAGCACAGAGGTTCAGCAACCAGCCGGTACATAAGGACCTTGTAGACTGTGCCGGTCAGATATTCACTTGAAAACGTAATGAAGTCACGACTGACCATGGGCTCTGTGCCTGAATACTGTTGGAGAACCATTGCGGACTTCTAAATGAGATTGTAACCCCTCATGCACACCATACGTATATGTATTTTGTGAAAAGCTTTTGTGGGTTCGGCTGCCTCAGCCATTGCTACCACTTAAGGTTCAGAAAATCAAGCAATCAGCCAGACGATCTCTATTGACAAACTTGGCCACACTAAAGCACTCAGGGCTTTATTCAACTACTTTTTTGAACATTTCATCTTTGTAGTTTTGTCAGTTTCTTTAGCTGTTGACCTGCTAGATTTGTCTCAGTCAATTGTACATGATGTCATCATAAAGGAAAGGACCAGGGCAGCTCCATATTAATGTCCCTGGTTTTGAAATGAGATATTTAATAATCATAAATGAGTGCAATGTTTTCACCACACACTTGGCTTTATATGCTCACGTGTCTCATGAGTTTTCTAGTTTTTAATTCTGATGGAGAGTTAGTTAAACATAGATCTGGGTGAGGGCCTTATACATGAATGTATAATGCTAAGAATATGGCTGAACATATTTCTGTGGATTTCCTGAGCTGGAGATGGACGTTCACTCATCACTGGTATCACTCTCAGGAGTATCAGACGAAGACAATACTCTAACGCCTATTTCTTTGTTGGGAGATCCGTGTGTTTTGTACATTTGTATTTAAAGGAATAGTTATTGGGATTTTGAGTAAGGAACTTCCATAAAGTCCATACATTTTTTGTTGTTTTTACTTGTTGGTTTTTCAAAGAGTTAAACAAACACAATTTACAGAGTTAATTAGTGAGCTCTAGAGCCGCTGCTAGGCAATTTTTGCCATTTTGACAGAGCCAGGATAGCTGTATTGCCCATTTACAGTCTTTAAGCATAGATAAGCTAACCATCTTTAGCTTAATATGTAGTGGACAGAGTGGTTTCAATCGTCTCGTATAACTGTCAGCAAGAAGGCGAACAAGCATATTTCCCAGAATGTCAAACTATTCCTTTAAGCATGTAGGCTTGTTTGTGTCTATCCTTCAGGTGTAGCAGTATTGACAGAAACCGCTCTTTGCAGATGGCAGCATGGGGCAGATTGGCTGCAGAGAGCACCCAGGTGGGGCACAGCTGTAAACACCTGGAGGCTCATCTGGGGGTGTAGACCTACCTCGGTTATACAGTGCCAGGAAGGAGCTCGGGGAGACGACCACTGCGTGTCCACATTCCATGTAGGCCCACCGACAGAGAGACACAGGTAATGATTGTTGCTTCTAAGACCATAATGAAAAAGTAATGCAAGGATTTATGACTGACAAAATACTGCTGCATATTGTGCTGTATTACAATAAGAACTATAACTTATCATAAAAACCTAAATATAACAGCGAGATTTATTTTAGCTGTCATGTCAGTTACTCAAAGTGAAATAGTGTATGTAGGTAACCTACATAAATGCCTGGAAATATAGAATTATTAGAATATCATTACTATTTACCTGCCAATGTGTTGACTGCTAAAGTAATGATATGGTTTCTGTGTTTCTTAATTCAATTTATCAATGGATTCATTGATAAATTGCATAGGGAAAGAAATGTATTTCTGCAGCATTGTAAACAAGCACCAGCACCAATTTATCTTCACAGAGTATTCAGAGTTATTACTGTCTGTCTGTCTACATAGTACATATATATTGTCTTGCATTAGTGCCTTAGATCTCTCAGACATCCATTACAGCGACACTACATTGTTCTTATTCGCCTGTTGATTACGAAATTGTTTATGTGTGTGTTGGCACAGGCAGACATGCGTTTAGGTTTTTAGGCATTTTTCAAATTGTTATTCATGCATATGTGCATGTATGCCTGTATGGACGTGTGGGCATATGTGGATTTCTGGTATTTGTCTCCTCTGTCTCTGTGTCACCTTTGTTGACATTGTCTCTCTCCTTCTGCAACACCGTGCTCTCTGCTTTAATGACGCATATATCCTATCTCCAGTCACTGCCTAATCCCAGCAGCGCTGGCTCAGGAACAGATTACTGTTTCCAGACACCAGAGGAGAGCAGAGCAGGGTGGGGGTTGGAGGGTAGACAGGTAGAAAGAGATGCCTCAGAGATACAATATACAGACAGATCGAGCGGGCCAGCACATGCATGTGAATGTTCACACGTATGCAGGTATGTCCACATATTTACAGCAGAAACATCCACCAACATGTTGTTCCCTGTCTGTTTGTGTCTTGTCCTTTTATACCACATTTTCATTTACCCATTTAAATATAACATATGTAGTGACTTTCTAATTTCAGAATATATTTTTCATATAAACAGTCATTCCAGTAAAATGTGCAGTGAAAAGCGTTGTCCGAAAATGCCAAGTGTAAGAGTATAGAATATGAACATCGGACACAGGAAAGCTTACTCATTGCTCTGCTTTCATGCTGCTACATGCAGAGTTGTCCAAGATGGCTGCCTCAATCAGCAGGTGCTGTGCTCCTGACTGCTCAGACCTCAGCCGACACAATCAAAATAGTGATTTTACAAGGTAGGGCTCCATACTAAATCAATAAAGTCTCAGGTTATTATTGCATTTTGTTCACATTATTATTCCCTTTGTAGAATCACAATGTTTTTTTTTTGTTTACATTTGTTCAGCCAGTAGCACACACCCTCTGGGTTGCTGGGCTTTTTTACAAACTGGTAAATATGTTCCGTTTTGTCAGCTGCTTCTCAGCACTCAGTCATGCGCTTACTTATACATCCAGTTTTGAGTCTTATTCAGGTTACAGTATAGATAAAAGCATGGAGCAGAAGGTTTAGGTAAGCATGCCCCCTTCTAAACACGCTTATCTGGTGGTTCATTTGAGCTTCTAGCAGACCCGCAGCTCCAGGTGTAAATAATTGGGAGGGGTATGTGCCGAAGTGGTGTTATCTGTCCAGCGGCTGCTGTCATCATGCCAGCCACCTCCCAAGAACATGACTTTTAGCACCAAATGATTGCGAATAAAACAATTGATTGAGAGGAGAAGAGAGTGAGCACCATAAACAGGCTGGATTCTGCCCTTTAATTCCACCGTCGTCAGAGAATTGGTTCTGCTGTGCTGCAGAGTAGGTCCCACACACAAGCAGTTTAGTTGTCTGCCCAAGGACCGAAATTGAATTTAGCCTGTGTGTTGTAAGTGTGGGTGTGTGAGTGTGTGTGTGTGAATGTTTGTGTTTGTACGCGCATGCGCCCCTCAGTCTCACTGCCTTTGTCTGTGCCTGTGTGTCTGTCTGCATGAGTCGTTTGGAGTGCCTCTGTATGCAGGAACTGGCTTTGCATGAACTGCATATGTAAGAGTTTGTGCTGCAGTGGTTGTGTGTGCATGCTGTTTTTTGTGCTTTCTTATTCTCTTGTGACTTAATCGTTTTACACTGCCAGGCTGCTCCAATACCATCTTACACTGCCTGCTTGTACTGAGGCAGTTATGTGCTGTGTGTGCACTGCTGTGTCGTTTCTGGATTTGAATGCTTCTTAAAGTGTTATTATAGTGTTCCAATTGATGATCGTCGTGTTAACCTGTAAACCTAAAAATGCCCCCAGTTACTGTTGGTATCAGCAGCCTGTTGTAGAAAACTTTGTTGGCAGTCATTTCCTGTTGACTGTGTGCAGATTGCATTTGTAGAACGTAGATGAATTGTTTAACAATGGTTTTCAGTGTGGCTAGTTTGTAACAGTTCCGCGTGTGTGTTTATGGTGCTGGTTCTTGATGAAAGCCTCGACCAGACGCATATATCAGAGCTCCAGCACTAATAAAAGGCCAGCAAGCTGTGCTCCTCTCCTTCTGGGAACAGCACCGCTTTTTACTGCTTCTCTGACAGCAAGATAAAGTGCCCTTCCAATTAGAAAAATATTTGGCCACATACCTACCAACAGCAATCTTGGGTTTATATTTTTTATGCCATTTGATCAGGAATCCTTGCTATTTTTACAGTGTTCTTTCTTATCACCGCGTCTTGGGTATGCACATGTTAATGTGCACCCGACCACTGCACCACAGTGCTGTATAATGAAATAACCGTGGTTTTATTTTGGTGTATCTCTTCTCATTTTGGTCTTTCATTCAGAAAGGTAGGGCTGTGTGCAGTTCTGCTTTAGTTTGGGAGTGAGACAGTATGTGTTTTAGCATTTTGCACGAGAGGATTCATGCTGTTGGGTGTGTTTGTGTTGATGTCATTCTTGTTGCCCCTGTCATCTGTCTGTGCCTCATACAGAGATGCATATATACTTAACCGCTGATGCTAGTCCCCGTTTCTGTTAAAGAATACTGTAGATGTTTTTTTTTTCTTCTTTTTTTTTCCCAGAGTGCATTAAAATTAAATTCTCTCTTGTTGTTGTGAAAAGAGGCACACGTAAAAAATAATTGGCTGTAGGAGAGAACAAAGGGCTGGCTCCTCTCTCCTCCCTGCACACCCCAGCCAGGCATTAATATCAAGCCTGCTGCATTGTTCTGCTGTCTGCAGCCATCCCCCTAGCCAGACACTCAGCTCTGGAGAAGTCACTTTTAATGTCTGATAATCAAGGTGAATTTTCAAAAAGCTGCCATTTTCAAATGATGGTGTATATATTATGTGTAGATGGGTGTTCAGGAGCAGAGGAGCTCCACTTGGTGAGGGAGAGAGCCTCAGCCATGCGAAGTGAAAGAGAGACACCCAACGGCCACTGAGGGGACTGCAGGCTGATTGGAGCTCTAATCAGAATCCTGTGAAGGATGGAAGCCAGCTGTCATTGCTGAAATTTCAGTGATGATTTCCTTTCTATTTCATAAATAGTTTTTTTGTGGGGGGGGTTTGATTATAACTAGCATTTCATAGTCTACTATAATGTGCATGGTCCAGTATTGCATCATCTGTGTGCGTCTCCTGTGGCTGTGGAGTGTCAGGGGAATGTATTTCTCGCGTACAGATGCTGCCTGCTGTTGCCCCTTGCTGAAGGGAGCTCTTGTGCAGCGTTATTGGGGAATCAGGCAGCCAGCAGCAGAGCAGTGGAGCTCCATTTCTCTGCTACAGGGCACAGACTCATCGTCCTCTTGCTCCTCCCACCTCCCCTCATCCCCCAGCACTAGGTATGATTATTTCTCCTCTGCTCCACCGCGCCATTATATTCCAGGTCCGCAGTTACCCCTCCCCGCTGTCATTTTTCATGGCATGTTTTTTGCCCGTGTGCAGCGCTGCACATTTGCACTGTGCCTGTGCAATATGTTAAGGAGGTGAATATATGCAGTGTGCAGAATGTAATAAGTATATATTTATTTTCTTTGCTGGTGATTTACTGTTTTTTCCCAGTGCTTGAGAAAAAAGGCCGGTTCTAGCCATGTATCTTAACAAACATGACTGCTGCGTATGCACTCGCCTCCAAGGCTTTTTACTCACCCGGGAAACAAAATTATACATCTGAGGAAGACTGGTTGTTTTTCGTGCTATGACTGTGAAAAACCTGCTTGGTATTTTGGGATATAAGCCCGGCTAATACCAGTTGGGTAAAGTTTTGGTTGTGTATGTGGCAATTGCTGCATTACAAACAAACAAAAAAATTAGATTGAGTTTTACAGGTATAGCAATGTTGACAGCTGATCAGGTGATCGGCCAGCGCAACACATTTGGGCTATTCTTTGTGCTTAACTTACCCCAAACCACCACACACAAAGCCAGACATGCAGCCATCAACAACACAAGTTGTTCACCGCCTTCTGTCTGCCTCTCCATACTGACCACAGGCATGATGGGAGTCCAAACGCGCAAATACACAACACACACACGCACACACACGGCTGAAATTGACATTGTAGTCCTCATAGTAGTAACCCCTTTTAAAACTTTGAGATACACTACCTGATTTTGCTATTGTGCCCACTGCCGCCATGAATCCCAGAATTTCCTCCCAGCTCACTGTGGATGAGTTGAAAAACATCCACACCGAGCAGGAAACAGAAACAGGAAATTTGGGGTGACAACTATAACAAAATCAGGGAGTCTACTGCAGAGATGATGTAAAATAGGATCCAGTGTGTACGAGTGTCAGTGAATATTTGAGTTTTCAGCTGTCTTGCTGTGAAAGACTAATTTAATGCACTGCTTCAGTACATTGCGAAATGAAAAGACACTTGCCAATTTACACCCCACTTTGTAGATGTGCATTCTTTTCGATGTTCGTCTGTATTATGTTTGTGTATTACTATACAGTATACTGGATGACAGTGTACAAATATCTTTTATTA